AACAAAAGGAATCCAAGCCCACAAAAAGGGGCTCTAAACCACAAGAAGAATACCTGATAATTACATAATTCCTTTAAAACCGAGGCCCACAAAGAAGTACTAAATCTTATAAGCTCCTAGACAGCCTCCAAGACCTCACTAACCCTCTAAAAACTCTAGCTGAATCTTTCTGAGGACCTTTCCACGAGAATTAATGAAATTGAGACTTAAGTCATTTGTTAAATAGAAACCATTTTGAAGTATCTTGAAGTAGAAAGAAAAATAAAATAAGCTTAAATCGTTCAAGAACGTGATTAAATCATCACTTAGAGCAAGAATGTTAGATCAAGGAACCCACCAGACCAGGGGAACTGCTGAGCTCTTCATTGACCTCAATGATTTTCCCTGACACAGGAGAATTAATATCACTGGTAGCTTTAACACTTTCTACCGCGCCGAAGCTGCCATCCTGTTTAACAGAAGTCCCAACTTCTGGTAATTCAACATAGACAACATCACCTAAATGATCTTGAGCATGATCAGTTATGCCAACAGTTGCTTGATTCCCTTCTACTTTCACCCATTCGTGAGAGGTAGCATACTTCAAGTCCTTCAGAACTGCACAATTGGAGATACAAGTTATTTTCACTGCACTCAAGTAGTTTTAAATATAAACTTGAGTGTTAAATCTTTCATGATTCCTTTTGGATAAAGAGAAGTTAATGAATTTTGAATAGAAACATTAGACTTTCTTTTTCAAGCATATGACTATATGAAAATTTTGATTCTCAATTTCTTTCCCCTCTTAAGCATTGAACCATTGAGAAACATGTTGTACATCCCATCCTTTTCTTACATTGTTTATCCGATGCAAATATCATGAATATAAAGTACAAACTTCTGAAAATGAAAACTTTTAATTATAAGAAATCAAGCTTTCACTCGGGAAAAATGAAAGAATATACAAGGGGCATACAAAAAAAAGCCGCCAAAAGGGGCCAACCTATAAGAAGGAACCTCAATACAGTTAAAAGCCTTAGAAACCAATACTTAAACAAACAAAAGTTTGCACATTTCATGTCCCCTTTTAAACCATGGAAATGAAATTTATGTTAACATTTTTGTTGTAGAAGACAGACAGAAAGTTATTGAAAATAATAAATACGTCCTTCTTGTATCTTGTGTCTTAGTTGCTTTATTTCAGGAAAACGGTATGCTAACATTCCATGTCCCTCATTTATTTTCATGTTCCTTAGGAGCTAAGTATGATCGGGAGGAAGATTGAGATTAAAACTAGAAAACGACGTATAATATCATCAGCTAAAAAGATCATCAAGGCACTGGTGTTAGTTCAAATGACAAGATAGAAATAAGAACACGTAAAAAAAAAGTAAGGACTGAAAATAGCAAGTAGAATAGAATAATAACTCATGTTTGAGATTCATCACATAATAATTCAAATGGAAGATGAAAAGATATGCATATTCAACAAATCCTCAAATATTGGATGTAGATTTAAAAGTATAATAACATCAGTGAACCTAACAACCGATTCAAATTTCAAGAAGTCATAAAGCAGAATGGGCAAATATTCATTAAATAATCGGCGAGGGAGAAGGGGCAGACACAGCAGAAAGCAGAGTAAAAGAAACCTTTGTTTCTCTTTCTTTTTTAAAGAACCATTTATTCTTCTGCCTGAGATCCACAACAGATATTCATTACATAATCGCCTCAATAATTCAGAAGACAAAGAGACGTGACTGCAGAACAAAAACGAGAGAAACCCTGCAAATTCTCGAAAAGGGTCTGCCATTGATCAAACAAACGCAAGATAAACAAAACCCATTATTGGGAAATGAGATCTTTACATGTCAGAATCAGATCAATCAATTTCGCAGCCCCTACCATAAATACCACCTCACAAACAATCAGATTACAAAAAACTGAGAGAAAGAAAATGAGGAAAATCACTATGGAAAAACGTCGGTTCAAATTACCAGAAGCAGACCCTCTATGGGGTACTGAGATCCTAAGGTATGAAGCAGCTCTCGAAGCCCAGAGCAATCTCGACGCCATTGATGAAACTCACAGCACTCTGTAAAGAAGAGAAAACCCTTTTCAGCAGAAGCTTGTAACGTGCTTTGGCTTGCCGTCGCTTCTAAGAGAAACGGACCCTTATTTGCTTTGTGGGATCAATATCACTTGCCACAGCACAGTAGGGTTGGTGGGGATGCCGTACTATAGTTTTTTTTCCTAACAAAATTTTCATTTTATACTTGATAGATTGCATTTTGCGTATTTTGGGTCGATTTAATTTCATCTTTTGAGACGTGGGATCGTAAGCAAAGCAAGCATTAAACAGAAAATAAAGAAAGGGAATACGTACGATTGAAAAATGGAAGAGAAATGAAGAAAATTACGGTTTGAAAGAGAATCCCACATTCATCGGAGTGTGAGCCTGGGAGGTGGTGGGTCAAGGTGTCAACAACAAACCCACTTCGCCACTGCTGCGAAAGCGAAAGTTGGTGAGCGGTGGCTTTGTTTGGTAGCTCAAAATGTGTGCTTGTTTTTGGATTTTTGTTTTTTTTTATTACATGGTGTTGGGTGGGAGATAGAATTTATAACCTAASTATATGTCAATCACCACGGTACTATGTTCACTTTGGTTGGAAATTAAATATACGATACTGTTTTTTTAAAATACTATTTTCGTCCTCTATTCTATCCCGTCAAGGTTTTAAATGTTAGTATAGATGAAAATGTTGAAGTATCAATTTCATAGAAATATTGATGAAGGTATTGGTAAAATGTCAATGTCATATATTTCTATAAAAATTAGAGAAATTAAAAAATCGTAAAAAATATTTAAATCAATAGATAAATATTTTTCTATTTTAAATAAATTAGAAATGATTAATACTAATATTATGTATATATAAGTAACATTTTGTTGATATTTTTTATATTTTATCGATTTTTTTGTACTACGATGGAAATATCTATTTATCTCTCATGTTGATGTTGAACACATAGATATATGGAAATATGAACGTGTCGACGGATATTTAATACGATAGTTCTCATATTTTTAAAATGTATATTTTTGTTATTGTACGTTCAACTTTAGTTCACCCAAGCAAATGCTAGCCTGGCTCAGCAGTAATTGAAATATATCTTACCCGTTGTGAGTTCGATCCCCCACCCTCACATATTTGTACTAAAAAAGACTTTAGATCACCCAAGTCTTTGTACGATCATACCTTGTTTTTAATATAAGAGAATATATAGGAAAAGTCTTAAAAGGTTTCCACACGGAGGGTGTCAAAAGTGTTAGAGTTCATCTTGCCTAACATTTTAACTTGTATAGGTGCAGTCACCAAAAACAAAGACAGAGACATACATGATATGTCCCTTGTTCCATATTCAAATGTAATAGGGAGTTTGATGTATGGAACAATATGTACGAGACTCGACCTAGCACGTGCCTTAAGTGTTGTAAGTCGGTTTATAAATCAATTTAATCATACCTCGTTTTTAGTTTTATGTTTTTAAAAATTATGTCGGTTTCTTCACAAACTCAATTGCTTAAAGCATTTATTTCGACCAAAAGATCATATGTTCGGACTCTACTAAAAAAATTTTGGAAATTATTCTAATAATGATATGCCATGGCCATTAAAGAAGTATAAAAAATGAGTGAAGTTTGTTTATCTTTTACTATGTGCAACGTATTGATCACGTCTCATAAAATGCTAGAAATAAACGAATTTAAAAAGGTCAATTCAACAAGAAGTTAGAGATGGACCGGGGCCACAAGTAAAATTTTGGATATGGAAATTGTGAGAAATCAATCTAATCATACCTCGTTTTTATCACAGGATGAATATATAAGAAAAGCCTTAAAAGTTTCCACACAGAGAGTATCAAAAGTGTTAGAGTTCATCTTGCCTAACATTTTAACTTGTGTAGAAGTCAGTCACCAAAAATAAAGACAGAGATACATGATATGTCCCTTGTTCCATATTCAAATGCAGTAGGGAGTTCAATGTACAGAACGATATGTACGAGACTCAACCTGGCTCGTGTAAGTCGGTTTATGAGCAATCCCAATAAGTCTCGTTGGGAGGCAGTAAAGTGGATTATGAGGTTTATAAAATTAAGTCAGAATTATGGCTTGTTATATTCAAAGGTTGGAGACAGTACATATATTCTTAATAGCTTCGTTGATGCAGATTTTTGCGCTGGTCTAGATAGACGAAGGTCTACTTGCGTCGTCTATAAACCAAACATTTGTATCAATTCTTCCTGATAATTTTCTTCACAACTATGATTGCTCATACCATGTTTTTTTTGAGACGACTTAGTTTACTTATGTTGTGTAGAGCAGGGTCGGCTAAATGAAGCATACAAATGTAGTAAGAATATGGACGGCATTGAATGTATATTTTTTTGATATCCACGAGTATTTGGACCGTTATACTGCACCAAAAATATTTGTAGAAGGAATTGAATGGTGAGTGGCTACGTTATGTCTTTTAAAATTTTATGCCGATATGAAATAATGATGGACGGTACGGAGAGGGTGAGCACTAGAATGAGGGAAACGTGCACCGAAAAAGTAAGCTTGTTGCACTTACAACTTAATTTAGCAGGCTACAATGCTGGATGCTATGAATGATGCCTTTTCTTATTTCTCCAAAATTTGAAGGGGATTTTGTTGATGAACTTCTTTGGCTGTATTCCAAAGCTTGTAAAGAACTTAAAATTGGTTGAAATATTCTAACTGGTTTCTCAAATAAAAGCGTTGGCGAACCATCATGAGTTAACTTTGTGGTCAAATAAGTGTCGATGTAAATAGTAAAGAGGAATGAGATTCAAAGCATAGCGGCCACCTCCCTAAAATTTAATATTCTACGAGTTACTTTGGAAACTAAATGTAATAGTAGGATGCTTTAAGCGACATTTTTACCTTTCTTCCAAGAGTTAACAATCCATAGATCCAATTGTTCACTCTTTTAGCTAGACACCTAGTTTCACTCTTTGTTCACTTTTTAGGACCCCTACCTTCCACCAAATATAAAAAACATTGAGCTGCCTAACTTGCCGACATCTCGACGAAGAGAATCTCATCACGCAATATAAAGTACCTATCAATTTAGTAGCATTGTGGACGACCCGTTGAGAGTGTTTTGGAGAAGTAAGGTATCTCGTGAGAATAGTCGTACAAACTAGCTCGAACACTCACGGATATCAAAGAAAATAATAAATAATAGTGTGTTGGTGCCAAACAACATCAAATCTTGCTATATTCTCGACATTGGTAAACAAGAACCCTATTCTCTTGCTCTTTTATTTTTATAAATTTGTTCAGCTTTGCACCTTATGAATCTGAATTATCATTTTGTTTTTTAGATTTGACTCAATTGTCATTTCGTTTGTTATGTTTTTCCTTCATAGCAATTAAAGTCCTTTTGTCTCGCCCTTCTTACTCTGTGGCATCATATCTCATGGATCTTCTTCCTCGATCTCAAGTACTCTTCTCGTCAATTCCTACCTTTTCCTAAGATAAAGATGTCTATTATATGATTTTTTTTGGGAGGAGTCAATCTCTTTTTCAATTTTTGGGCTTCTCCACAAATGAGTTATCAACTTTAACCAAAATTATCCTCTGTGTAGAAGGCTCTTTTGTTAAACAAATAGGACCCGTTTGGTAACATTTAAATTTATTGTTTCTGATTCTTCATTTTAAAGAAAAATGAATTGCATGACCCCGACATCTATGAATTCAAGTATTATGATAAAACAATCTTTTTATTTGTGTTTTGGAACAAATAGAAAATAGAAACAAGAAAAAAGAAATTTATTTTGGTTGTTTCTAAAATTTCTATACGATTTTGAGAATATTCCCAAAAAAGGAGAAACAAGAAATATAGTGCTTAGATTTCTTAAGAAAATTAGAAATGAGAATGTTACTAGACGAGCCCATAATTGTTTATCCGGCTTTTGATAAACCAACCTACGATAAGAACCAGAGACCATGTACAATTAAGGTATGAGAAGTGAATCCCCACCCCACAAATTATCGAACTAATAAAGGTATGCTAAGTTGAATTTTAATATTATTGGGACATAACCATGTACAATTAAGGTATGAGATGTAAATTTTCAGACAGGCAATACAGTTTTGACATCCTTGTGCATTGTTCTAATAACATTGGTTACCTGTTCAATCTGCTCTTCACTAGAACATGCTGAGAGAAGTACTTTGGCAGTTCCCCCATCTGGATAACAACCAGCATCAATCATCTGTTCAAATATTTCCAAGCATCTTTTATAAAGCTTCTTTCTGGAGTATGCACCAATCCGAGAAGTCCACGTCACGACGTCGGGTTCTAAATTCTTTGCTGGAAGCAACAGGAACAGCTCCTCCATTCTCTCCAGAAAACCTGCTCGCCCATACACATTGATCAAGATGTTGTATGTGCTGATATCTGCTCTAAATGATGACCCTTTTTGCATTGTAGATAGAAGAGCTTCCATTTTTCCAAATTGGCCTAAACGGCCGTAAAGATTAAGCATGCTGTTGAGAACAAATGTGTCTGGTTTGAGGCCAGATTTGTGCATTTGGCCTATAATATCTTCACATTTAGCTGCATTGCCAGCGTTTGAATGGGCAGATAAAAGAAGCATGTGGGATTTCATTGTCGGGGTTATACCGATTCGTTTCATCTCTTCGAAAACGGATTGCGCATCTGAATTGCACAAGAATTAGAGTTAGAAAAGCATTCATTTGTGAAAGAGAATGAATGATAGAAGTTGATTGCGTGCTTGAGGAAAATGGTGGAAAAATAATGGCAGCATGCATCAATTTGAACACATGCTTTACATTTAGAATTTAGATCCTTCCCTTGTCTGTGAATGCAACCTTCCTATTGCAAGGTACATGATTTGAGTTGGTTATCTTTGTTTCGTATGTTCAGGGGTGAAGCCAGAAATTTTCTTAAGATGGGGCAAAATTTCACATTCTAACCTTTTATATATATAACCTATTAATTTAAAACATTTAAGGACAAAAAAAAAATAAAAAGTAAGGACAACAAATTAGAGAAAAACTATACAATTCTAAGTATTTTATATATTTTGAATTTAATACAAAGAAAACAAAATAATAGGGATTATGCAATGAGTGAAGAAATATCAGTAAGGCTTCGCTGATAACCATTTTGTTTTTCGTTTTATGGTTTTGAAAATTAAGCTTATAAACACCACTTGTGCTTATATGATTTGCTACCAACTTTTTAAAACCGATTTCAAAATCTGCCTAATATTAAAAATATATATATATATATATATATATAGTTTTCGAAAACTTGTTTTTGTTTTTGAAATTTAGCTAAAAATTCAGTTGTATGTTAAAGAAATGGCAAGGAACAAGTTTAATTTCCAAAAACAGGAAACTAAAAATAAAATGGTTATCAAATGGAACCTAAATATATCATTTAAGTTTACATACCCTCATGTAGACCAGCTCTTCCATACGCATCCACCATGATATTGTACGATGCTCTATCTGGTTCACATCCCATATGTTGCATTAGTGAAAAAATTTCTGCAGCTCCATATGGAAAACCAGCACGACTGCGATGACGAAAAAGGTACACTTTTTACCGGAGAGAAAGTTACATCTAAAGGATATTACTGTAATCTGAATTTTTCTAATGCATGAAAACATAAAGCTTAAGAACAGAGCAGCAAATTTATAAGCAATTCTTCTACATTGATCTTAGTTGCGGCATGATGCATAATTAAACTAGAAGGAAATTGATACACTTATAATCAGAATTCAGAAATATGATGTGAACAATTAGAACAGGATCATTCAATTCAATTGCCTACTAAAGATCACCGGTCATCAAGGTCCATATGGCCAGGCCTTCAAAATACTGTCATCCATTTTGAAATGAACAGTGAAATCACACTAAATTTCGAGAATCAAGACTATATCTACAAGAAGGTTGTCCGAGATTAGTTTTACCTATATGCTTCCATGAGGGCATTATAAGCGTAGACATCAGGCTCATAACCAGCCTCTTGCAGTTGTTCAAATATTTCTTCTGCTTTCTCACAAAGTCCCTCTCTAGCAAATGCGTTTACTAAAGCTGTAAAGGTGCAGATGTTAGGTTTGCACCTTTGACTTCTCATTTCATCAAATATCTTTAGAGCCATATGAGACTTACTTTCCTGCATAAATCTCTGATTATTAGGCTAGACGGGAAAAGGTTAAAAATCAAAAAACAATTTGAAATCCACATGAATACTACAGTAGATTCCAGTGCTTTTATTCAGGATTGTCATTATCTTTACAAAAGCTTCAGGCTATTAGATCAATGGCTAAACATATCGTGGCTGGTATTAATTGCTCCATTTAAGAGGTCAGGAAAGTGACTGAGGATTCGGGTGCCCAGCAGGAGATTGATCTCTTTCATATTTGCATTTTTCGTTGCTAGGTACTCCTAAGCCTAAGGCATTTTCATATCTGATTTTCTAAAATATTTCTTGCAGGCTCGACAATTGAAGCATGCTTGTCACTCCAAAGGAACGCAGATTACTTTAAAGTTCAATTAGTTGGTTCTCTCCGAAATTCCTATTTATTTCTTCTCGTCTTTGAAATTGAGAAGAAAATTAGAAACTTCACAGGAACAGGAAGCGCCAAGTTTGATGGTGCGTCCCACCTAATTAACAGGAGAATAGCATCTCTCTCTCCCATTTGGAAGGGGTGGCCTAGGGATTGTCAACCTTATGTACAGTATAATATGGCAGTTTTCCTTGTTGGATTTGGAAATCTCCTTTGGAAGAGAAGACATAATGACATTAAATGATTGTTACTAAGTTCGGTATTGATCTTGGTGGCTGGGTTTCAGGTGGGTGTTAGTTTGGTTAATCCAAGAAGTTCCTGGAAGACTATCCTTAATCTGAGAAGCATTCTTTGGGAGAAGTTTCTATTATTGTGAGTAATGGGAACTATGGCAAATTTTGGGAGGATAGTTGGTGGAACCATGGGGTCGGCTCTTTTGTGCGATGACTTCCCAAATCTTTTCACCTTTTCAGGTAAGAAGGGCCTTACTCAATCTTGGTCTCCTCATAATACCTCATGAGACTTTAGGTTGAGTGGGATCTGAAAGGATGAAGAAATTGAAGAGTGGATTTCTATTGGATATTCAACTGATCTGTCCAACAACCCCGTTATTTACTTGTTCTCTGGCTGTCTAAATGTAGAAGCTATGCTTCTTCCATTTGGTTTCAATTTACACATGCATTCAAGAAACTGAATTGAACATAGGGCAAACCAGACATGGTGAATCTGCACTAGCGTGGCTAGATTAATTGACTCCATCTTCCATGATAATGTCCATTCACCCAATTAAGCCTCGGTAGCAGTCAAAAATCAGATGATCCTCTCAGAAGTAATTAATAATACAATATGCCTTTTCTCTAAATGTTCTCATTATGAACTATTTTCATGCAAAATGAAAACCAAATATTAACATTTCAAAATGTAACAAGCAGATTAGATATCCCCGTTGCTAGATTAACTAATTTACAAGATCCTGATTCAGAAAATGAAAAGGAAAGAATAGTCATCAAGCATTTACATAATAATAAAGTATCGTAAAGATATATTCGCAACCCAAAAACAGAATTTATAAGTTTCAGCTTCAGTATCCAAGATATTCTTCGATCCATCATACCCGTACTAAAGCAAATAAGACACATCATGAAATTAAAATGCTAATAAAAGAGTTCGTAACTTTAACCTGTTCGGGCTCACCTTTCCATACACGTTTATTAACATTGTGTAAGTATCTGTAGAGGGTTGGCAGCCATCTCTCTTCATCCTGTGAAAGATCTCCACTGCTTTGACATTGTTTCCGCCCTTTACCAATCCATCAATATAAGCATTGTATACAATTGCACCTGTATAACAATTAAATAAAGTTTAAAATTTTCTTTGCACCACTGTTATTTTATCTTGCAAGCAAACATTAAATTTCTTATGCCACTTGCATCGATATCGTCCTATTACTTGATAGGTATCATCGATATACTTCAAAGAGTTAGAAAAATAATGATAACCAAAAAAGATCAAGTATCATATAATGATATAAGTAATGGCTGCAGTTGTAGCTACAAAAAGGAAATAGTGCGCTTATCTCCTAAAACTAAAAGTTAGCATCTCGGAATAGTGCATATTTTTGGGAGCCCTGAAAATATAAGTTTAGAAAAATAGCACTTGGGAATTCTTAATGGGTCGCCTTCTCATCTCTTCCTCCCAAAAGTCTCAGATCCTTTCATTTGTTATTCTCATCATGACCACTAAGATTGTAAGAGATTTTTATACATGTTCAGAATTCACCAATAGAAATTTATTAATTCTTTGCTAAGTTAATTTTCTCAGTATGCACAAACATCACAAGGGTAGTTACAGAGCCAAATCAGACAAAACCAACATGGATGGCTGGCCTGGGCTGTTAATGATAACATTGGTATCAGTTTCATGTCATCCACTCTGCAAAAAAGAATGATAAGGCAGTTCGTGCAAGAACTTTGACAACGATTTAACCACTGATTCTTTGATGGAAATGATTGTTAGGTTTTAGAGATAATGAAGTTTTGGTGTTGTGAAATGCCAAGTATTCTCAACTTTAAATTAATTAAAAGCACAAAAAATAACTAATCAGTGGAATTGACGAGACAAGCCAGCAATGACTTGGTTATTCACAGTTAGTATTCTTGACTAAATAACACATGGAGTATGAAGCAGCATAAATAATTTAATATTTGACATATGATTTCATGTAGAAAACTTTTGTATGACTAAGAATTCTCTTTGGAGAGAAATTTGATACCAATGCACATGCAACAAACTGCACATGTTATAATAATAATTGGAACTTCTTAAATTTCTAAGCCCTCAGAAGTTGATAATACTGGCTCCCCATAGCAGGTGACTGATGAGTAATAATAATAAACATACTTGGTGAAAGGCCATACTTTCGCATTTCAGCAAAGACAGCTTCAGCCTTCTCTAGCAATCCAGATTTGCAATAGGCCTTCAGAAGAAGTGCATAAGTATCTTCTGTTGGAATGCAATGAGATTCAAGAAGTTCTAAGTATGTAGATTCTACATCCTTATACAGTGATTTCTGCCCATAAGCATCCATAAGTAGATTGTACACAATCACATCTGGTCGGAAGGAACTCTTGTTCAATATCCATTCACATATCTATACAATATCAGCAGCAATAACAAGTGTAAGCACGAGTTGCATGTGCAAACAAAGCCATTTTTATGAACATGAAGCTCTTTCTCTCTCGCCCTGTCTCGCTCTTTCTCACACCCACACACACACAAAAACACATGTCGTCACATGAGATTTGTTTAATCCATTCAAATTATTTGTCCAGCTTGCATGAACTCCTCTCACCCTACAAATGTGCATAACTATGTATCTTATCGTCTAACTAAACTATCAGCTTAAATTCATTGAACTATAGAAGGAAATAGAAAAGAAGTTGAGGAATCCTTGGATTTGGTTTGTTGCATAACATTTATGGAGTTCTATATACATATCTTTTTTAATTACTTTCTGCTTTTTACTAATATCCACTAGAGAGCTTCTTATAATCTCATTTGACCTTTGGGTTAGTCCGTTAGGGTGGATAATGAATTTGTTCCACTTCCACATTCCAAATATTCTGTAATTAACGTCTTAAAATTTTAACAAAAGTAAATTAAAAACATAAAGGTATACTTGGCTAATATTTTTAACATTTAAATCTTTATTATCATTGTTGAAAATTTGTTACTGTCTGTAGTTAATATTTACTTCATTATTTCCTCACTTTCTCTCGGCATAATGAACTTTGCTCTTTCCCATGACAAACTTATTCTAGTTGGAATCTCCTTGGTCTTTCCTGGAAAATTAGATTTTCTATTAGCTATTTCTTTCTCTTTGAAAATATCGATTTTGATTATTCTTCATGATAAACGAATTGGACCTTTAAACATTCAAGTTAATTGGCCTGTAAGTCTTATTTCCAATATTTTCTCAAATATTCAACTCAGCATATCCCTATATGCTATTACAGATCAGTTTAAGGGGACCCCACTAAATTTTCATCTTTCTTCGGTCATCAGCCTTGGGGAATATTGAAGAGTAAGAGCTCCATGGACCCGAAAGTGAAAATTAAAAGATAAAAGATGTGTAACAGCAAAAAAAAGGAAGGAAAGAAAGGACCAAATTAAGGAAAGGTATTGAGTTCATACCAATATGATTGGACCCCATTTCCTGTTAAGACGAAGTTGAACAGCTACACTAATGATATCATCCCAAGTTGAATTATTGGGAGGTAGAGTGTCAAGAGAATCCCATAGTCCCGTATAATCTACCTCTTCCCTTACAAAGTCCATAATCTGTTGAGCAATAGGGCCCAAAACAGGGAAGATCCCATCAACAAAACCAGATCCATACTTCCATCCTCGTCCCCTCAAGGAACCACCTGAAACAAAATGATAACTGAAATATCTAAGATAATAGACGCCTAAACCTAGATTACAAAGCACAGTTCTAAGTTTGCAACATGTCTTACATCGTTTTCTTGACAATCTTTTGCGATCGAAGGTTCTCAATTTTCCACGTTTATCAACGTAAAGGCCATCACGTCTGGATTTCTCAACAACTTCATTGTCTGCGCACTTCACTGTCCATCTGAAATCACTTCCACAGCATCTCGGTTGTAAGTAAACGTTGTTAAGTGCACTTCCAAAAATCATCCTGCAGAATTTTCCATACAAATTCCAAAAATAAAATGACAGATAATCGCAAACAAATGTTCAGGCTTCTATCTGTTTTTATCGCAAGAGACGTGGTGGCACAGAAACCAATAACAATGAAAGCGAACATTATATTGATCGTTGTATAGTAGCAGTTCAGATTGCAAAGTAACACCCACAAAAATGAATTTGTGTAAAACAAAAATCCTTCTCAGGAAGCAAAATTCACAAAAGCCCATTAAATAAATAGGACAAAAATGGAAATGGAGGTAGAGAACAATTAGTTTTAACATGGAAATAAGCTTCAAACGAAAATTAATCAATGAAGTTACGATAACTCGTTCAAATACAACGACGAACCAACCAACACTAATCGCTGTGTTTAATTCCAAACAGATTTGTCAATCAGTAACATGAATTTTCGGAAATGCATTCCGCTACCTCTCCAACTTCCGTTCCAATGACGGGGAAAATCAACTCTAGAGCTCCCATTTTGAGATTCAATTACAGAAGGAATAATATATAACAAACTCAAATCCAATTTCAACACACGTGTACCATGACGAACTACAAAGTTGCAAGCCGCCATTGGAGTGTTTGCAAGTGACATTGTTTGGAACAAAACAAGTTTTGTAAGCTTGTATTGGAAAAGAGGAGCGATTGAACTTACATGAAAGCGCTGAGCAGAGAGTTTTGAGGAGTTCGAAGAAGAAAGGAGATATGGAACAGTTAAGATATGCTCATGGCAATGGCAATGGCAACGTCCACCACTCTTGAGCCGGGAAGCAGATAGAGGATAAAATAAAATAAAATTTAAAAAAATTAGATATTTGATATTGTACACTAAATTTTAAAATTTTGACCAAATTTGAGAAACTTATAATTATTATTATTATTATTTTAGTGGACATTTTTAGAAACCATATATGTTTCTTTTTAAATTATTTTGTTAGTTTTTAATAACTAGTGAACGTTTTGAAAAGGTAAATTATAGAGCAATTATATTGGATTAAATTATATATTTTATTCCATCCTTGTGGTAAACAATACTAGAAAGCGATTTAAATTCATTAGTTTATGTTTCTAGGTTTTTTTTAGAACCTATCAGTTACTGTTGAGTTAAATTAAGTTTATGTTGGCAATGAAGGGTAATATAACTCACGTAAATTTACATAATCTTGTTATATTTATAAATATTGGCCACCTTTTATAATTTCTCAAAAATTTATTCAATAAGTTCTTAACAAATAAGGTTTTTTTCTTAAAGAAATCAAATAAAACTGCTATTAATTGCCTCGTAATAACCATCTTGTGTACAAGATGAAAATATGAAGCAAAAACAACGACTAGACAATTTATATATATAATAATATTTTTAGAACACAATATCAAAACTAATAATAAATCTCTTCCCCACTTGGTTAATGGATCTTGTAAAAGGGGATTCCCCTTCAACCTTGTCCTAGTGGCTTAATTAAATGCATCTTTCTTAAAAAAAATAATAATCATAATAATTCTTATATTTTAAAAACCAAATACCTTCCATACACATTTGGTAACATTCTCTCGTTCCATTTACATTAATAATAATAATAGATTGCCCCAAAACTCAAAAATAAAAACATGATAATACAATTGAAAATGTTTCTAAAAAACAAGAAACAAGAAACAATTTATTTAGTGGATAAAACTTAGCTTCTTATTAAGGACCAGACTTTGTACTTACCACCATTAAAAAAAAGAAGACAAAATTACTCCTTTTGAGGAGTCAAGTTTGTTTAGTATAATACATAGAAGGGTAAGGTACCATAACGAATTATGTTTAAGTTGATGAGAAATATAAATAATTGCAATGATTTCTTAATTAAATTCAAAACAAAAAACAAAAAATGAGAACGTTAACCAATAGATTCATAAAATCTGAAATAATCCATCTAATAAAATCAAGCGAATCTAAAATCATATGTTAAACCAAAATTATTTACTGTTTAGTGTGGTTGGAATACTACCTAGTCACTAGCTAAAACTGACCATTTTAGAAATTGAATATTGTAGTTAAAATATACACAGAACAACCGTTGAAGGACGACCGCATTCAATTGAATTTTTCCTGTTAAACAAAAGATTTCAGAAATTCCAACAAGAACAGTGCAGAAAAGAAACATAAATCAGTGCAGAAATTCCAACATGGCTTATAATTTTAAACAAGAAAATTTCTCCACAGCATCTAAAATCCAAGCATAATTTTTTTAACTAACATACAATGGTGGCGGGTATTGGGCAACCTAAATGTTCCATACAAGAACAGCAATTTTTCTTCATAAATTTGGCAATGGCAGGGCCATCCCATGCCCCATCAAGTTCACAAGTTGCTACTTCACTTCAAAATCAAACAGTCTTTAAATGAAACCTCCTCCGAAGACAGACATATTGCTTATTCTACTTCAGCCAAGTAATCGTCGATCTCGGCAGGGGTTAGTACTCTGCAAAAGAATAGGTTGAAACTAAATTTGTATGTGGGAAATGGGCTGTTCTAATAGAAAAAGATGCATGAAATATCAGATTGACATGGTTCTTCACAAGCAAATCACGTAAGAGATACAAATTGTGAATTTTTTAACATTTTTTTTAACTATAATACCAACTTGACTTACAATTAACAACTCTACATATATACACAGAATTTTTGGACCACCAAAGTAACTTGCTAATATGCGGAAGATCAAAATTTTCAAATTTCAAGAGTTATCTCTCCAGTCCAAAGTAACTTGCTAGTTTTCCATACTAAATGGAACCCCACCAAATTAAGAACAGTACGCTCACAATGAAGCACATAAACACTACAGCCTACCACACAATTCAACAATGCACAAGGGTTTTGAAGCTCAACCCAAAGTATAGGGTTTTTACTTCCACCAAAACAGAATCGGAGGGACCAACCTGAATTTTTTATCTGTGCCAATAATTCCAATCTCAATGTTTTTGCCAGAGATCTGTCCTTCAAATCTAGAAAAAGCACTTACCAATGATTACCATAAAATAAGAAACTACATTAAGATGCAGAGTGCACTGCAGAATGGCAAATCATATACATGGTTTACAAAATGAGGATTTAAATTTAGATCTCTTCGTGTCTTTATTATTATATCTCCATCCCAAAGATGCTGCCATTTGATAGCATCCTATCCTTAAGGTGGAGAGAGAAATAAATATTTAGAAAGCAAGTTCATACATGAAACAAGATTAGTTAAATATACATACCCCTCTTTCAAGGTTAAGATAGCAGTGTGCACTGCATCATCGAGCTCCATGTCATCAGTATACCTAAATTGAAAAGTAAGACCACCAAATTGTCAAGAAAAATATAGGAATGGGGCCAGGAAGCAAAACAACTTGCAAAACTACCCATGGTATGATACTTGGCAGCTTTTAAATCAGATTCTATGGATAGATTTTGAATCTTTAAATTTTGAGTTCACAAAGCTTGCTTTGGATTCTTATTTAATAGGAAAAATGAAACAGAATAATTAATGTGAAATTTGATGCAGAAGCTGCTTACTTTGGCTTAAGAACTCAGGTGATACAAAACTATAGCAATACCTTTTTTCAAGGAATGTTTTGGCGTTAGAAACATTCTTCCCCATTGCAGAGGCTTTCCAAGAGAAATATGAACCAGATGGATCCACCTAGAGAAAATTATTCCATTCAAGAAAAGTGAATTGGGGAATAGCTTTTCAATGATGCTAACAAAAATTCATAATTTTTATCCAAAGAATACATATATATAATCGAGCCATATTGTAGCTAGAGACGTGATAGGAAAAACAGCAATGTACAGTCAGGATTTTTTTGGACTACTCTAATTAAACACTGTACACACTGCTCGTAGGCTTTTTTTTAAATTAAAAAAATATAGGAAATAAATACTTCATCAATAAGATTAAATATAAAAATGGAAAACAGAATAACCTCCGCGCTATTGTGTGCACGAGGGCATGTACTGAGCATGCAAACAGCTCACTCGAGTGTCTTGAAATCATTATAATAATGATGATGATGATGATAATATTAAAAAGGTGGATTCCTGAATCTTCATTCCCAAGTTTACATGAAACTTAATTTTGATATGGATGAATTATGAAAAGGACTGAATAAGTTAATAAGACACGAGAGATACTCTACCTGGTATAATTGAGGACCATTGTCATCAAACCCAGCAACCAGCAGAGATACTCCAAATGGCCTTACACCACTACAGACAAGAAAAAAGAATGGAACTTCAGAATTCGACGATGAAATTGGAAAATATATTCAGGAAAACAGCACCAAAGTTTCAGTCCGACAAGAAAAATATCGGAAAGGGCAACATGGCACCACAACCATTTTCAATGGAACGAAAGACGAATATGCAAAAATGGGGAAATGGGGGCTTGGAAAGAGAGACTAGAAATGAAAGAGATGTTATCCATGTTATGTCCATTCAGAGACTTTAAAATAACTTTCCGGAAAGTTAGGCTACACCAATTTGCATCAAACTTCCATTTAAAATTGTAGAGTTCGAACAACTTTCAAGACAAGAATTGTGGTTACCCGGATTGGGTGAACTCCTGCATTACAGCTGCTGTTTCCCTCACAAGTTGGGTGACCGGAATTGGTTCCTATAAAACATTTTACACAAGTTACAACCATGTGAATAAAATCATTGATAGTGTGATGAAGAATTAGGAATCACGTGCTCTATTACAAATGAAAAATTATGTGCACTCACTCGAAAAGGAAACTTAGTTAACAAAGCAACTGATTGCAATAATTTGAACAAGCTCAGCTATATTGAAGAGAATCAAAATGAAACTAAGATTGTTGATATTCCTTTTAGAAGTCTAAACTTATTATTTGAAAAGAAAACAAGAAAGGGTGCAAATAAGAAGTATGTAATTTGACACAGTCAATAGTTTATTCTCCATATTCAAGCAGAATGCGCAAGTGTACCAAATAGTAAACTCATTACTTCCACAAACTGAAGAGTACTTCAGTTACAGAGAGAATCAATATGACGTTTAAAACCTCATTGTACCTAATGTACCAAATTGTCCTTATAGTAGACTAATTATACGAACTAAAGAGAGTTTTAGTTATGAATAAATGTGATGCAGGGGTTGAAACCTCATCGTACCTTGTAAAGTCTATGATATTGCTCTGCCTGTTTCCTACTTTTTCTGACCAAAACTCTAAAATCTGGACCCATGCCGCTGCAGGAAAAAATATCATTATAGAACATGAAGGTGCTTACACAGGAAATAATGAATGCTACAAATGGATTGACTGACATGTATGATATATCCAACTTGTTATACTAAAGACCATAGAAATGCTATGACAACTCAAAGTAATAACACGTAAATCACAAAGACAGCACATTTACAACGATACAATAACAACAGTCTGAGGATGCTCCAAAATAAGTTTATCCGTGAGAGAGACATAGCAAAAAAGTAGGTTTCCAAGAGGTAAATAAAATCAAACCTGTAAACAACTCCAATATTTGGTGTAAGAGACTGTATCTTTTGAACCTGAGACAAAGAAAGAGCCTTAAATTATAATGCCAAAAAGAAGAAAGGATTTACAGGATTAATAAATCATAGTTACTAAATTTCAGTAACATACAGATGTTTCATCAACCAAGATAGAAGGTAGTTTCTTTTCAGTCGCAATGACTACACCATTGGCAGCTGCAAAGAAAAAGGCATACCCTAACCGTCAGTAAATACTTTAACACCCTTCCACCGCATATCCAAAGTTATAATCACGAACCACATAATGCAACTTCCCATGTGAGGCGTGAGATCAAACAACCAAAACCCAATACAACTGATTCGATAACCAATCAGAGACCTTAATGCTGATATCATAATTGAGGAAAAACACTTCACGAATAAATTCCTAATCTAAAACCCAGAAAAAATCGAATAAATCACCGTGCTCCTATAATGCAATAGGAAAATCACCTCTAATAATGAATTCTGATGACAAATTAAGAAATCATTCCGCGTCGAGAAATGAGGTAGGATGCAGCAGTAAGATAGATAGATAGATACCTTTGATACCGAGAGATGTCTGACCAGATCCAACCGCTGTCAAAGCGTGCTCGATCTGCACGAGCTTTCCCGATGGACTGACAAAAACCACAAAAACACACCATTAGAAGGCAGAAACGAGGGAGAAAAAGAGAGCGAGTGGTGAGTGACAGACCTGAAAGTCGTGAGAGAAAACGAATACTGGCTATCTCCCATGGCGTCTTCCGAAGAGCAAGCGTGATGGAGGAGAGGAGGGAAATCAAGAAGCGGTTCTGAAATGCGAATTCTGGAGCAGGGCCGGAGAGAAGACTGTGGAGCTAAAAAGCGGGGATTTCTTGTTGCCGAAGAAGGCTTCTGATTCTGGGTACCGTACGACGGGCCTTCGTTTTCCAACTGGGCCTCTCTATTTCATAAATTATTTTCTTTTATTTTGAAAAGTAGGCTTAAATACATTTTTTGTTTTTTTTCTTTTATTTCATTTTGATTCTTAAAATACTTTTAACTTTTAGTTATTTATTTTTTCTGTTTTAGTTTTTGTAATTTAAAAAAGTAATGTTTAAAACAAAAATCCTCTTTAACAAAAGGCGAGGTAAATTATATTTTAATTTTAATAATTTTTTTCAAGTTAGCAATAAAAAAGTTTAAAATTAAAATATATGCCACATGTCGAAATCGTGAGCGTAGTACAAAGGTTAGCCTGATCTATTTGCGATGATKTGTAAAATAAATAGGAAAATATTTAAGTTCCTGGACCACATCACTCCCGATTATGATATGACCCAGTAATAACTTTGACATGGGTTAGCTTTGAGATTTTTTTATTATTTTATAAAAATTGATATATTGTTAATATCCTTTAACTTTCAAAAAACCCATTTCAGTTTCTCCTCTCCTATTCTCTATCCCTGTGGTCTCTTGACTCTCTATTTTGAAAGGCATCTCATTCACTTTCCGTATTTAAATTATAGAATTGCAATTCATAACCATACAATCATTTTTTGCTTTTTATTTTCCTCATCATTCATTGTTTTCCCTCATATTTTAAATGAAATCTATGTATATTTTCAACAGCTTTATTCAATTAGGAGTCTCATGTCAACAATGTGAGAAACACATAAAAAATTTTCGATCATTGAGAATAAAGATTGATTATTAATGAGTTTTTTAGTTCTATTTATTATGGAGAATGGAGAACAAAAATGATATTTGGTTAGGCGTGTAAATAGTATGTTTTTTAAACAAAAAAGTAACAAATAGACGTATAAATTTGGATGAGTCATTTTTACCGGTTTATTCCCCATGAAATCACCCCAGTTTTTTTAAACTAATAAATGCACGATGGTTGAGATATTTAACGTATTTGTGATTCTTAGACATTTTTTTTATTTTTTTCAGAAAAAAAGTCAAATAAAAATAGGAACTAAGAAATGAGAGGTGAGAGATAGTAGGGAGAGAGACAAAATGAATGAGATGCGCGTAAAATATATGTTGAACAGATATTGAGATATAAATTTTAATAAAATAATAGAAAATATTTTAAATCAACCCATGTTAACTTATTATTGGGTCATTCATTATAAGTGTTTTGATCATGAATCTCGAAGAGTCAAGTTTTTTCCAAATAAGTATGTTCGAGCCTAATTCTAACTGTTTTGTTTCGAAGCAAATCACATCCAAGTGATAGTATTATATCCTTTAGTTTAATTTGTGTATGTGATTAATTTATAAAATAAGGATGCTTCATTTAGCCTAATTCTAATTATGGTGAAGTATAATTTTAATTGTTCTGTTCCGGGGTCGTGGGACTTGGGAGTTTTTTTTTTTCTAATATGACGGGGATTTCAAACTCGCGATCTCTTGATCGAAGATAGATACTTAAACGAGTTGAGCTATAGCTTCCCATTTTATTGATTCTGTAATTTCTATTCTAATTGATCTTTTATGTTCATTTCGGTTTCTTAATCCTTACCATTTGGACGGCCAAGATGTCACCAATGCGTATGGCATTACATATCAAGTTGCAGTTCACAAGTCAACTTGGGCCTGGCCCAATTATACGACCATGCACACAGTAAGTTTCCATTTTTGGGCCGGGCCTGAATAGATGTGGGCCTTTCTGAACCGGGCAAAAGTGGCCGGACCGGGAACCCGATGGACCCAAAAAGCAACCCGAATAAGAACCGCACCATCATCTTGCTTCGCAAGAAAGGGTCTGCTTAAAGCACAAAGACAACACTGAAGAAACTTGCAGTTGCTGCTTCTTCTCCTTCCTCCGGTGTCTCAGGCAAGTAGATCTCCGTATTCTTCATACGCTTCTATTCGTTTTGCGTATTCAAATTTTCACGATTTCGGATTTTTGGCGCTGAATACGTCATTTCTGCTACTTGATTTTGGTACGATTCTGATTTCTCAGTGTTTGTGCAGAATCCAGGCGGGGTTTTTTGATTGAATCGGAAAATGTTTCTTACCAGGTGATCCAGTGCATTCCCTCTTACGCCATCTTTCTCTCTCTATTTTTTTTGTTGTTTCTATTGTTTGATTTTATGTAATCTCTTTCTGTGGTTCTTGTTGTGGGTTCTGTCAGGACTGAGTATGATAGGGGTGTGAATACCTTCTCTCCCGAAGGTCGATTGTTCCAGGTTGAGTACGCGATTGAGGCTATCAAGGTATTCTATCGCCTATCTCCACTTTCGCCCTCTCATTTATTGGTTATTTCCATTGAAATTCCGAGATTTTTTGTTTGTTTGTGAGATTTGGCGAATGCTAGGCAGTTAAGTACATTAGGAGCATAATTTGCTCCACGTTTTTTTTTCCTTGTCCATTTTATTGAATCAACTGGGTGAATTGTTGCAGCTTGGTTCGACGGCAATTGGTTTGAAAACAAAGGAAGGGGTTGTGCTTGCGGTTGAGAAACGTATTACATCTCCACTACTGGTCTGCTTCTCTTCCTTAGAAATTTCTATACTCGCATGTACCCCCGAAGTTGTTATTGTAGTCATTTGCATATAAATTTATATTGAGTTGAAGTTAAATGTCTAGCAGTCTAGTTAAACATTTTAATAGACATGGTTGCCAATGTGATCTAGAAGTTTATATGCAGCTCAACGTGAGTCTCTTGCATTCAATCGCAAAAAGAAAGTTGCACACTGGTTTTAATTGAAAATTAGTTTTTGACCCAGCTTCTATCTGTTTGGATTTTAAGTATTTTTCTGGTTTTTGAATTATGATTTTCAAGCTTAGTTTGAATTATGATTTTCAAGCTTAGGCACCATTTTTTTTCCCTAACTTTTATTTAGGAACCAAGTAGCGTGGAAAAGATCATGGAAATTGATGAGCATATAGGATGCGCCATGAGTGGATTAATTGCTGATGCCCACACACTTGTTGAACATGCTCGAGTTGAGACCCAGGTGGTGTTGCGGTTCTTGCCTTACATCTATCTGTGATATATTGTTAGTGACAAACTATTGAATTTTTAACTTCATCTTTTGTAGAATCATCGGTTCTCATATGGTGAACCAATGACCGTGGAGTCCACAACACAAGCTCTTTGTGACCTAGCCCTAAGATTTGGTGAAGGCGACGAGGAGTCCATGGTTATTACTGAAAACTTTTCCTATTCGAGCTATCCTATCTTTTGCCGCTCCACTTACTCTTGAACTAATTGTTCTAAAAAAGTGGCTTTAAAATGACAAAGAAACTAAACAGTTAACTCCACTTTCATCTTTTCTTTAATCTATCAGGTCTCTTTAAATATTTTTTTAAAAAAGTAACCTCCATGTGCATGACTTGATTAGAGAATTATTTCATGTCAAAGTTAATTAGTTTGTGGACAACTTTCTGACATTATATATATGAATATATGAAGAAATTACTCTAATTTTCCTCTGAGTAACTTTGAAATGAGTTGAGGGCGATATCGATATTCTGCATAATCCTTTTCGGTTTTTTAGAGAAAATAATTAATGCTTCATAACTTCACTTGCTAATACATTTTTTGCTTAATTACATGTCTGGCCATCTGATAAAAAATTCAGCCCAAATCATATATATATATATAATGTTTTGTACGCATTTCCATTTTGAGTTATGTATTTTCTGTGCCTCTGTACAGTCTCGACCATTTGGAGTAGCGCTTCTTATTGCCGGCCATGATGAGAAGGGGCCCAGCTTGTAAGTTTCCCTTTGCTTGATAGCTTAGAACTGATTGATTGATGTGATCAGCTGTTATTTCATCACTGCATTCTGTATATGCAACCTCCCCCAAACCTAATGGCAGCTGCATGGGACTTGTGTGAACACTTTTTCTGCATCCTTCCATTATTATGGCAAGAAAAAGAGGCTATGACCAATTGATTACACGTACATATGTATATGGGATGCCTTCATCTCATCTCCAAATTTAGTGCTATAATTGTTCCTCCGACTATGTTTATGCTTTCAATTCTTTTTGTTTTTTACCCATTTATGCGCCATGCATGCTTGTTCCAGCTTTATGAACTGAGTTTTGATTTGGCCCTCATATTTCTAATTGTAAGTTCTCTTAACGATTAGAACATTACATTACATCTTCCGTTGGAGGGCACTGTGTTTGTTTGCTTTTAATGTCAAATCACTTATTTTTCTTTTCATAATCAAACTCTATTTGAGTAGTGTTCATTTTTATTTGTGTAGAGAATATCTGCGATAGCATTGTATGCTATTTTAAAATTAACATCAGGATTCAGAACTTTAGCATCATCAGTAATATGAGTTGTACATAAACTTAAGTTTCATCCATAATATCTTGGCAAAATATGATGTTTTTCCCCAAGTTTTTCACCTCAGAATCTGTCGTATGCAGGTACTATACTGATCCATCTGGCACATTTTGGCAATGCAATGCTAAAGCTATCGGTTCAGGTTCTGAAGGTGCAGACAGCTCTCTGCAAGAACAATATAACAAGGTGTGTTTCATACCTTAAATTATTCGACAGATGGAGCATCCCGAACTCATACTTGTCCAGTCATGAGATGCGTGGTAGCTACAGACCAAATTTAGAAAAGATATATAGATTTAGAGAAGATATATGGTCGTGAAAGTTTATAAACTACCATCTCTCTGCAAGAACAATATGCTGAGATATGTTTCCTACTTAATAATTCGACAGATGGAGCATCCCAACCTGATATTTGTCCAGTCATGAGATGCATGGTAGCAACAGACCAAATTTAAAAATATATATGGTCGTGAAAATTTATAAACTACCATGGCTAGTGGTTGTTAGGACATTAGAAAAAAAGGTAAAGGACATAGAAGGAATAGATTCAAACCATTGTCCGACTCCCACCTATTTTAAATTTAAAATCCTACGAATTCTCTCAGCAACCATGTAGTAGGGCCAAACAGTTATCCGTGAGATTAGTCTAGAGACTTACAAATGTAAAATAAAAAACACTGAAAATGTACAAGCAATACGAGATCTGCATAGTTGAGGCCTGGAACCAAAGGCTATAACAAAGAGCCCCTACAAGCAATCTACCAAATGACTAAGACGCACCCATGCTTATGTCTCTGGAAATCTCAATGGAAAAATCCACACTACTAGAGAGGGATACACTAATGCTTTCCCTCGTAAAAATAAAATCAACTTCTTTGTTTCTGTTCAATTGTACTCTGGAAAGGAATAATCTATGATGAACTCGATAGCTGAACGAATTCCAGCTTAAGCAATATATTCGTCAGTTGTCCAGCAGTCCAGGGTCAAAATTAGTTTGATATGTTACTTCCATTGATTGCAGGAGCTAACTCTTCTAGAAGCTGAAACCATAGCACTTTCAATTCTGAAGCAGGTTATGGAAGAGAAGGTACGTAATCAGTGCTTTTGATAACCCGTAAGAAGAATTGCACTTCTATCACTAACTTTTGCCATCTAATAATATGTTGATAAAACCGTGCCCCTCCGATGTCAGGTGACTCCCAACAATGTCGATATTGCGAAGGTGGCTCCAACGTACCATTTGTACACCCCTGCGGAGGTGGAGGCAGTCATTGGCCGGCTATGAGAAGGTCCTTTCGAAAATCCTCCGAACTGTTGTTATGTTTCTTGTCACTGGGCATGTATTTGTACTCTTCTTTGTCTGGTGAGGGAGAATCTCGGGTTTTCGCCTACTTTAGAAGCTCTTGGTGATGCGTTTACCGATAGCTTACAGATTAATTATGGGACATTCTTGATGGTTTATTGCGAACTTAGATGAACAATTTGATTAGTACTTTTACGGAAGCTTTCTGAACATAATTCTGATACTGCAATTGCGCCATTTTGAACACAATGTGAGAATATCTTGTGGCTAACAGGTAACATTCGAGAGAGCTGCAAGCAAATTCATTCTCCTTTTCTCTATGGTTTCAATACTTACTTTTAGCTTTGGTTTATTTTCGTCCATAAATTTTTAACTTTTGTTCCTTTTAGGTCATGTGCTGTTGAAACGTCTATTGTGGTCCCTTTGGTCTATTTATTTTCATTTTTATCATATTTCTTTCATACTAAGTTTTTTGAAATATAGCCATAAATTTATATCAAAAATTTTTCATTAGGTTGTGCAAATAGGGATCAAATTGGTCGTGGACCAAAACTAACGGTTTGAAAATATAAAGACTAAAAAGTATAATATTTGAAGGTGCGGAGACTAAAATTGTATTTAAACATATATATTACAAGTAGGTTTTGGTTTCTACGTAGATGTAGGAATGAGAACGTCAATGGGAGGTAGAAAGGAAGATGCCTCATCTTTTTCATATTTTTCTCTGGAGTTTATTTATAATTTTACTCTTGCTTTATTTATTTATTTATTAATCTTTGAATTATTTTTTTCTTCTTCATGCAACGCTTCTCTTTTCTCTGAAAATTAAATACATACAACTTTGTTGTCCAAAATTGCAATGAATTTCATTTCACATCTGGAAGTTCACATACTGTGGTATTTCATTAAAAAATGCAAATCTGTGTTCTAAGGAAAGTCTCAATTTCTTTGCAAAAGTACAAAATAAAATATAGTTAAAGATTCTTCAAATTCTAAAATTTAGTAACCAATATTTTTGCAATATTATGGAAATTAAAGGAGAAAAAAAAAGTAGCCATTTTGAAAATACAATACAAGCGGGGAATGATAATGGAGGAGGAACCTGCGGAACAATTTATATAATTTATTATTATTATTATGTTAAAAGGTTATTTAATTTAAATTGTGCTGGATAACAATTTCGTTCTTATTTTTCTTTTCTATTTTAGCCGAGCTTTTTTTTATTATTATTTTTTTGAAAAAGTACAATCTCATCGTGGTACTTTAAATATCGTTCTCTTTTATCTTTTATATCTTACAAATTTTTAGTTACATTCTTAAACATATTTGGTGCGACGAGTCAAATATGTTAAAATTATGGTTAAGTTATAATTATTGATAAGTATTCCTTCAATACAACTTATAATTTGTCTATTTAATTATCAAATCTTTACATTATTTCTAAAATTTGTTTATTAGATTATAAGATTCATGTTTAATTCATGTGTAGCGACATAGATTGAATATAAATATAATTTAAAATCTAAAAACGTTATTAAAATCGTTAAAAAAATAATGATTAAATAGATCTAAAGTTGTAAGTAACTTACCATGTTCAAATCTCTACCCTAATTTCAAAAGTAAAAAAAAAAAAAAAAATCTACCCCACAGGCCACAGGCCACATTTTTTATTTTGAATAGATAAAATACCAAATTTATAATTATCTTTAAATTAGTAAAGTTTTGATATTTATTGTCCCTATAGCGGATGAAAAAGGTATTAAAAACAATCAATGACCATAATAGTTAACATTTATGATTATTTTTATCCTTAATTCAACACTATTCATAAATGGAAGAAAATACTAAATTACAAAAATACCCTTAAAATCTGTCATTCGTTTTATAATACATCCATCTTTTCGGAAGTTTGAATATTATCTTTGACCCTTCATAAACGTTTTAAAAATAATTGTTGAATAAATATTTGTTAATATTTTAATGGAAATTTTACGTGACAATTAAAGTAGAAACTTGTTTAGATTAAATCTGAAAATAGAAAAAATGTAGAAGATACTATCTTTTTGGAAAATGAGACTAACGCAAAATTGTAAGAAGTTAACTTCATAACGAGAGAAGAAAATTTTTAGAGCAAAATTGAGATGTTAATTATCAAGCAATTATAGATTATGTTAGGTCAATATTTTGAATATTTTAACTAGATATTTATTCTATGAATATTTTTGAAACGAATAAGGTATATTTGAAATAAGTTAACGAGGACTTTACTTTTTTTTTTTCTTCCTTTTCTTTTTAGGGAATTCAGCGAAAAAAAAGTGAAAAATAAAAATCCAACTCCGTTTAGGAAAAACATTCAAATAATATAAAAATATTTCGTAATCTCCTCTGCTCGGCGCCTTCGATCACACTATAAAAACGCTGCCAACCGACCTTCGATTTCGGTTTCTTATGGCTTTTCGATTCCCCACACATTCTTCTTCTTCTTCTTCTTCTTCCTCCTCAACGTGAGATTCTCTCTCTCTGTGAATCTTTTTCCCGTCCCCTGAAGGCCGGCGATTCGATTCACTCGTTTCAGTTTCCCGCTTGTTTTCTATCTTCGAAGCCAACGCGCATTTGAGGCGTCTCTCTCGCCGATCGTGTTGTTTTGGATTTATTTTTGAAGGTACTATGTGTAAACTAGACTTGTGCGCATGCTCTGTTTGTTTCTGTTGAAATTTATTCGTCTTGAGAAACATTGAGTCTAGGGCATGTGGTAGTGAAGTGATTGACAGTCTTGTTGGCTGCCTGCTTGTTTTGTTATAGATTACTTTTAATCCATTGCGGTCTTCTACCTACTAATGTAGGTCGTTTTCGGAATGTTTTGGGTTGTTGTTGGTTTTCTTTTGATCAGGTTGCTTATTGATCGTTATCCATCTTACGCGGATTTAATTTCATATGAATAGAGGGCTAAGGTTTCATCAATAACGCATTATTATGCCCAGATAGTTTAATGAGAAAAACCTCGTCTTCATGGACCACTTATAGAAACCGTAACAGGCACACACACTGACACGCTTGTTCACAGGTTCACATCGAAAGAAAAGTATACTTAGCTGGAGAAGTTGGAATGATGAAGAAAATATTATGGGATACCTAAGAGTGAGAGATGGGGCTGGAATAGTGTGAGAGAGCTAATAATTGGAAGGTGTTCGATTTCAACAGAGTGAAATCAGAGAGAGAGAGCATAGCAATGAAATTGAAGGAAGGGTGCTCTGTTTGGACATATGGAGATTAAGGGAAATATTTTTAGGGGCAATTTGTCATAAAGAACGTAAAATTACTAATTAGTAACTTTTCATTTGAAGGCATTTTTAACAGGTGTGGGGGTCAGAATAGCATTTTTCAATTGGTAGGCTAATGGATCACTATTGTCCTAGGTTTTCCTAGTGGAAAATTGGGAGAGAACACTCTCCTGCTTTGATTAAGGGTGTTTTATCCGGGTATTCATTGACTAATTACACCTCTCTCTCTCTCTATTCCAAGTTAAATAGTCACCATTTATTTTTCTTATTCTCTGTCTCTATTGTATTATTATAGTTTTGGAATTGACAGCATTTCATACAGCGAATTAATGGGGGTTAATATGGAGAGTTATGCTCATGGGACTATACCAGAGTATGGTGCAATTTTTATGTCAAATAGTATGACTAAAACAGAATGCTTCAAAAGGAAGTTATTCGGTCTTCCATATTGGCTAGGCAACTTTGTACAGCAAATTAAATCTGGGATGATTTTGTTTCTGTTTGAATACGAGAAGAGAGTACTTCATGGCGTATTTCAGGCAATTTCAGATGGTGCAATGAACATTGTGCCCCATGCTTATAGCTCATCAGGGCAGCAGTTTCCTGCACAGGTAATGTACATGTGAGTAACATTTTCATATTGTTTAAATCAAATTTCTGTTCTAAAATTTCGTTTCTCCTTTCCAATTGCTATTGTTAGGTTGAGTTTAAAATAATTTGGTGCTGCAAACCCCTTTCTGAAGATCAATTTGGAAATGCTATTAGGGAGAACTATTTTTCAGCCAATAAGTTCAACTTTGGGCTGTCTGAAGTGCAGGTTTGTTGTTTTTCTCTCAATTTGGACCCTAATGATTCATTGCCTACTAAAAACTTCTCTTTGATGATTCAACATGTAGGTGCATAGGCTTCTATCTCTGTTTAGCTTGACAAAATCTAATGACCAACTCCGTCTGAGACAGTTAAGCAGTGACTTGTTTGAGTGTTCAAGTGATTGCTTAATTGATGAACGTCAAAGTGTTGCTGATGATGTTAGGCTTCTATTGAATGGGAGGTTACAAGGGAAACAAATGGAGGGTGAAGACCAAAGTAACACCATGCAGGAAAGTGTTCCTCCGCTCTATTACAATCTCAGAAATATAATTCCTTCCACAGAAAATCCAATACATTCTTCTTATATGGATGATACAAACCTCACCTATAATTCTGGTTTCTATAGTAATGCTCAAATCATGATGCCCAGCCTCCACAGAATATCAGACTGCATTACTAGCACACCTTTCCAAACATCTGTATATGTAGAAAACAATACAAATCCTTCTGTGAATCAATGTGAAATAAATGTATCATGTTCTGATCCCAGCTTACTGACTTTTCCTACACGAGAGTTTGAAAATGATGGAGACTTGAGGAGGTCTATCAGCCAGTACGCTTCCCATGAACTTAATTACTCCCCTTCCCCGAATCAGAATGAGCAAAACATAGCAAGGCAGGAAAACACCGAAGCATACTATATGTATGCTCCTGTGATGAAAGAATTTCCCATCCAATTTCCCTTTGATTCAGTCGAAGTTTCAAGTATGCCCTCAAACGAACATACAACAGCCAACCATGGACATGAAATTAATGGAAATTATGGAAGCATGCATCCTAATCATTTAAACAAGGGTAGTGTCTTTTCTCGCTTAGCCTACCCATCTGATGCGAGGGTACAAGAACTTGATGACTATGCTGATCATGAGAAGCAGTTTTTGGATTCATCTTTGGATCAAGTTATGTCTGTACTGCAACAACACCACTGGCAATGGGACATGACTAACCACGAAATGCTAAGTCAAGAATACAAAGTTGGTAGAAGCTACGTGAAAAAACAGACAAAATCTTCTTTAATTTCGTATAGTAATTGCTTTCAAGTTTCCGATAAAGTAAGGACAGACATTGAAGACAGTATAGATGACAGTAGCAAAAATGCTATAGGGCTTCCATTTGTGAATTTCAAGCGGCGGAGGAAACCATGCAAAGCTGAGGATAAGGCCCTAACTGGTGGCCAAAATGTGAGTATTGGAAATGCTCAGTTGTCAGGTGTACAACAGAAAAGAAGAAAGTTAATTCGGCCCAGCTTTGCCCATAGTGAGTTACGTGATTGTGGAGCCGCCAATAGTGTCTCCGGAGGTTTACAAGGCTCATTGAAGGAGAGTCTCTTTGGAGAAAGGACTAGTAGCAATCCTTTAATTGGGTCGAACAAGACAGAGAAAGTCTCTCAAGCTTCTGAATTGCCAGATATTATTTGGCTGGTCGAAGACGAAGACAAGAATATTGGTAGTGGAAGTGTAGCAACAGCAGAGTATCCTTTTGGATCCACTCTAAATGGAATTGAAGATAGGATAGCGTCCTCAAATTATGTTAGTGACCTGAATATTACCCCCAAAGTTCTTGGAGTGAATGAGAGTTGTAGTAGTACTCATAAGGCTTCAACTTCAGAGCATCATATGGCTTCGCAGAATCTGGATAATTCTGGTTTGTGTAGTCGACAAGAATCACCCTCTGAGGGATCTGAACTAAATGCTGGGAGTAGTTTTATTAGGGTTGATGAAGGCGGCAACAAATGCAATGAAACGGAATTAGTTAAAAAGTACGAAAATTGTTGATGAACCAAATCAAGGTTTTGCCACTGCAACGAAAAGCACAAATAAAAGTTGGAGTCCTCTGGACTCAGCTTCAGAAAGTGTTTCTGAAGGATTTATTGAGATAAGTAAGCAAAATGACAACAAGCAGCAGTAGAGGAGACCTGGAAGGAAACTGACCTTTTGAGCTAGACGTCTTTTTTAACCTGTTTTGCTGTGTTTCTACTATGAAACCTTTCTTCCTTTTTTTATCTTTTTCTTTTTTGGTTGCAACAGAATGTTGAAAGTTCTTCTTGGAAGTGACACATGAAAATGGTGGGAAGTCTCACAGCTGATGAACTAAAAGCAGCCAGACTTTACAGGTACTTTTGTTCTTTTGAAGATTTTATTCTTCATGAGTATAGTTTTGTTCAGTTACCATTACAGTGGTAAAAATTATTGGTGGGGAGGTTAGGATTCTTAAGTTCTTGTAATTTTTCGTGAAGAATCATGACACGTAGTGACTTAGAGAAGTTTAGATTAGAGCTGATAGTGTTGTAGAAATGCAAGTCAATCAGCTTTTCCAAGAATATCCCCTCCTTTTGTATAGACTCTTGTTTTCATTTCATTTTCAATACAAAGATTCAGCTTTCTATGCAAAAAAAGAAAAACGTAGAATACTCTCCTCTGCTTGTGATTTGTGCTTTTCTAGCTCTTCATTTGTGCACGACTGTCATGGGAAAATGAAGTTTGCAAGTCATGTTTCTATGCAACCAAACTTTGCCAACACTGAATTATAATTAGTTTTTAGGGCTTCATTTTGTTAGAATTTGTATATATGTTCTAAAAAGATTACTTACATTTAATACTTAAATGGCGTTTTTCATTCTAAAAAAAATAGCATTTTTTATGTTAATTGATGGCGTTTAACTTTTAAATAGTATCTAGTAGGACTCGAACTTTYACAGGCTCATGGCGTATGCATATAATTTTTGGTATTGACAAAATTGAAAGTAAGTTCAAGAGGTGTTGTAGGTCTTTAAACTTTTAGTCGTATGTCTAAGAGGTCTCTAAATCTTATAAAAGGTCAACAGGATGTATTACTTATTAGACATAAAATTGGAAGTTAAAAATTTATTAAACTCAATATTGAAAATTTTGGGATCTATTAGATAAATCTTACAAACCATACTTTAATTTAATCTAATTGCCATTAATTGCCATAAATTGAAAAGTGGCAAGTCACTATTTTGGTTAATAGTTAATTATAAATTATTAGCTAACTAATCTTATTACCATCAAATTATTAATTTAATATTAAAATTTACATTATCTTTATCACGTGGGCTAACTTTATCACCACACCAATTGTTTTATTACCATTTGGCGATTTATTATATTTTTGATTGACCTGGAAATAATATTGTTCACTCATTAGCAAACTTTGCCTAGATGGAGTAAATTGGTTATCAACAATGGAAATTGGTTAATTATTATAAATCAGTAAACCGTTCATTTAGCTACCTGAAATTTTGGTCAACTAAATCAATATCTAACTTTTATTGTAATCAAATTATTATTAACTGCAATATCAATATGTTACCTTTTAAAGTCACCAACTTTAGTCGATGCATGATTTGCTGTATTGGTTGAGTTTGAAATAGTAAATCACTAATTGAAATTATTAAATTTCAATAATTTGTTATCTCAATAGCTTGTCCTAAATGTCGATACTTTGGTGGTTTTATTGGATAGATTTCTCATAATTAACGTGAGTGCTATTTAAAAAATCGGATCCTAGTTCTTTTCTTTCGGATCCTAGTTCTTTTCTTTCTAGTTCAACAACGTATGAAGCGAGAATTTGAATTCTTGAACTTTTTATTGATAATATATATCTTAATTAATTGAACAAAAAAATGTAGGCAAGGAAAAGTTTACCAAGTAAAAAGATAAGAAATATCTTTCCATGAATGAAAACTTTCGTGGCTTCAACAAAAATTCATAAACTATACAAATTTTATTTATAACATTGCCACCACAAATTAAATTATTTAATTGACCTAATTTTTTTAAGAGATGACCCACAACTCAGAAACTTACAAATAAAGAAACACCTCCTCTAAGCCCCTCAAAAAATACAAATTAAACCTCCAATTTCAATTTCAAACCTTTCAAATGGTGTCATCTTCGGATCCTTGAGAAGCTCCCATGACCAACCAAACCCAAAGAACATTGAAACAAACACAAAAACCCTAATTCAAATAAGAATCGTCAAAAGTGAAAAACAAAATCAAAGATATGAAAAAGGCACAATTTTTTAATCCAAAGCATTTGGTCCAAAACACCTTCTTTGAACAGGGTTCCAAACCCATTGAACCATAAATTTCCTCCCCTTGACACCATTCAAATTGTACCCATTTCCCCAATTGTCTTTATAAACATTCCCAACATACCCTCCTCCCCCTCCTGACCCATACAATCCCACACACAAATCAGCTATCTCTGTGGGAGCTGTTGGATCCTCTCCTGCATACCAAGCATTCACCAATGGATTGCTTGATGCTTCTGCCAACTCATGAGCTATCACACTCACCATTCCATCTGCCCCCACGTACCCGTTCGGCGCGCCCATGATCGTGCTCGGCGGTGGCGCCTCCGAGCCCGTTGGCCGAGCAAATGGGTATGCGCAGACGCCAGGGCATTGCTCCCCACTGTGGCCGACCCAAGCATACGGTACCGTTGCACCAACGATCATCGGGAATGTGAAGTAATGGAAGCCACACACTGCCCTACAAAAGTCTTGCACTTGAACATCAGGTGAGGTGAGGACTAAGTAGAAGCCACTATAGGGATTTAGAGGCAAATTATTATAAGCTCTTGGATTTGAGGGGGTGATTGAGTTTTTTATGATGTGTTGAATGGCTAAACGACTCAGGTAGCTGCCTTGGGAGTAAGACGAGTCGTGGAACTCATCGGAGAGATGGACAGTCCCAGTGATGTTCGAGTTAGTCTGGTCAGTGTAGAGTCGGACCGTCTGCCACCAGTGAGCGACAGACGGATAACGAGGAGGAGGAGAAGGAGAAAGAGAGAAAATGAAGTCTCTAATAACATCTTGGTGGTTAGGGTTCCAATGGCCATACCAAATGATATAAAGGTTGATAGGGGAAGCAAGGACAGGACCCATGTGGTATTGTAGGTTTACAAGGTCAGAGGAGCCTTCAAAGTTGTTAAGGTTGTCTTCTTGGGTCCTCCATGGGAGAGCTTGAAGAGAAGAAAAGGAAGCAAATAGGAGGAAAAGGAGGAGGAGACAATAATGGAGATCTTCCATTTCTTCTAGCTTGGTGTTGTGTTTTGATGAGAAAATTTAGACAAGCTTAAGATTCTTCTCTTCTTCCTAGGTTTTCTTGTCATGTCCTCAATTTATAATTGTCTACTTAGAGAGAGAGATAATTTTTTTTTTTTTTTAACCTTTAATATCATGTCCACCATTGCTATTGAGAGAGATTGAATGATGAATATTGTAGGGTGAAGTAGAAGCATGCATGTGAAGAAATATCATACATCTTTTTTTTTTCTCCTTAATTAGTGCACTTGTTTGTCCTCGACATCTTTGACTCTATGTTCCTTTAATAAAGCCAAATCAAGAAAGGTTCCATATAAATCAATTACTTTAGGATAATATGAAAGGTGGGATAGAACATTAACTTTTTAGGACGTTTGGATTTTTGTAACTCCATCGAGAAAAGTCAAGTCTATACTTGATATGTGAATTTTTAGTTTATTTAAGGATAAAACTTAAGTGCTTACCTTTAGGTAGGTATCTCCTATCTATCACCACTAAAAGAATATTGACAGCCGTTTATTTTAGTAGTTGTTAATTTTTTTAGAGTTTGTAAGTCAATCGCACTTAAATTTTATCATTTATTTATTATTAAGCTACATAGTATATTAATCTCATGTAACATATAAATCGAAGTTAGGAAAAATCTTATATGAATCATAATGTCGTAAGTAAACCACAAGTTTCTATAACTTGTTGATTTGCATAATTTCAAACTAATCAAGACTTGTTAAAATCATGGGTCAAAAGATCAAATAAGTTATGACCATAGCTTTAATCAAATTCTACAAAGTTTGGAGTCTCTTTTTAAAGCATAAAAGAAGTTGAATTTTAAAAGATGGGTTAAATTTATTTCTTGCAATGATGGCAAAGGTGGGAAGTCCATGTGGTGGTTGAAGGTTTTTAAAGCATCTTCAAAGTAGGAGCACATTTTTTTTTTCTTTTTCTTTCCTTTTTAAAACCATGTCTTTAAATTTTAAGTCTTTGTCGTTGTCAAAGCGTGCATAGCTCAGCGATAATTGACATATATCTCAAATTAAGAAGTTGTGAGTTCAACCCCCTCCCCACATGTTGTACTAAAAAAAGTCTTTCGTCGGTTAACATGAATATTAATAAAAGAGAACCAAAATAAAAATATTTGTCAATGATAATCTTTTCAAAAATTTTTTGTGTGTGATTTTTTATAATGATATCTTATTATATGATATGAGTGTGATGGTAGGTAGGTTTATCTTATATTTATAACTAGGGATAGATTATATCACATTGATGAATATCAGTGATAGACTTTTTTATCCGTGATAGAATCTATCTATAGTCTATAAAATATAGAGTATATCAATTAAGACTCATACATGAAATTGATAATATGAGTTTATCAGTAATATACTTTATCACTGAAAGATTAATAGACGTTTCAAAATCCTTTTAATATGTTTCTTGAGTGAGTTTAGACTAAAGTTGTTATTAATTATTATTTTTTAGTATTTTTTTTAAACAATAAATGTTAGATGTGAGAATTTGAATCTTTGACGAGAAGAAAGGAATATATATATATATTTTAAGAAGATATTTAAATCTTATTTTAGTAATTTTTTTAATACAATAAATGTGAGGTGTGAGAATTTGAATCTTTGACGATAAGAAATTATATGTCTTTACCGCTAAGTTATAATTACGCTGGCAAATCTTATTTTAGTATTCAAACTTTTCTATTCATCTCATTTAGTACATAAAAATTTTATTATAATTTATAAATTTGATATAAGAAAAAGTATTATAATCTTTTGTTGTTAATTTTTTATTAATCATTAAATTTTTTTTTAACAAAATAGAAAAAGAATTTAATCAAAAGTTCTTAAAGTCAAAATAAAATATTTAAAATTTAAGAATTCAAAACTAGAGCAAAGATGAAATTTAATGAAAAAATAAAATATTGGGTGACATATTAATTTATTTCTTTATTTCAATATTTTGTCAATTTAATCTCTAACCTCAAAAAAATGTTTACTATATCCTAAATTTTGAATTATACTTATTTTTTTAATATATGAAATTTCAATTAAAACACATTCACCATACTTCATTTCTTTGAAATTTGGTAAGGTTTACTATATCCCTAAATATTGAATTATACTCTAATCTTATAAATTTCAATTGAAACACACTCACGATACTTCATTTCTTGAAAATTTAACTGTATTTATGTAAATTACAAGAGGACGATACTAAAAGTAAATACATCAACTTTTTAGCATTATAATTAGAAATTTGATCAAAAATTTTAAAATGGAGTAAATATGTGATATAATTTTAGCCAAATTAAAGTATAATTTACGTTTAAACACTATTTTGAATTTTATTTTGGTTTATATATTTTCAAAAACATCTATTTTAATCTTTATGTTTTCAATTTTGGTTCGTTTTAATCATTGTATTTTCAAATGATCAGTTTTGATTCCAGCAATTTTCAAAAGTGATCAATTTAGTGTCTATATGATATTCATGTGTTGATTCTTCAACATCAGTCGATTCGAACCTCCACTTAATTTCATCCAAACTTTATCCTAGTCATGGATAGAACACCTAGGTTCGGGTTCATAAATAATAACGATGGTCCTCTGAAGACTTTCTTTCACTACGACTCTGGTGGGTTTTCTTAACAAAGTCACTGCCTATGAGTCGCTGTAGTTACACCTCACGAAATTTAGTAGGTACAATAATGGGACAAAAATATAAATATTTAAACCTAGCCTCAAAGAGGGTTGGCGCCCTCGAATGAGACCCGCATGGCCGGAGCGGCTCCGTCACAGAGCCCCTGTATCCTTTATGCCTTTGATGCAACTCTTCGCTTCTCTCCGAATTCTAAACCGCCATGGATTGCATCTCAAATTTTCTTCCATTTCTTGTCCGGATTCCTTCTCTTGCTTTCAACGATCCTCAGTTTCTGCCTCTGCTACATTTTGCTCCTCAGTCCATTTCGATCATTCTCCCAGCTCTTCGCCGCAGTCTCCTGTGCAAACGATTTGTTCGTTGGTCATCGAGTCTTGTTTTCGTCAACCCCATCTCAGACTCTCTCCTTCTAAGTTGAAGCTTGAGCTAGACGCCGATTCTTTGACTCATGAACAAGCCATTTCTGTCGTTGCTTCACTCGCCAGCGAGGAGGGTTCAATGGTGGCGTTGAGTTTCTTTTACTGGGCAATTGGGTCTCCCAAATTCCGCTATTTCATGCGGCTTTATATAGTCTGTACGATGTCATTGATCGGGAAATGTAATATGGAGCGAGCCCATGAGGTGGTGGAGTGTATGATAGGGGTTTTTGCAGAAATTGGGAAATTGAAGGAGGCGGTTGATATGATCATTGACATGAGAAATCAGGGGCTTTTGTTGACCACCAGGGTGATGAATCGTATAATCATGGTTGCTTCTGAAATGGGGCTGGTTGAATATGCAGCCAACGTGTTCGACGAAATGTCTGCAAGAGGTGTGGCTCCCGATTCTTGCACTTATAAGTCTATAATTGTTGGTTACTGTAGAGATGGCAATGTTTTGGAAGCAGATAGGTGGATCTGTGAGATGATGGAGAGAGGCTTTGTGGTTGATAATGCCACATTGACTTTGATTATTAATGCTTTTTGTGAGGAGAATTTTGTAAACAGAGCACTTTGGTTTTTTCATAAGATGAAAAAAATGGGTTTATCACCAAATTTGATCAACTTTACATCTATGATAAGTGGGTTGTGCAAGAGGGGAAGTGTTAAGAAAGCATTTGAATTATTGGAAGAGATGGTTAGAAATGGCTGGAAACCCAATGTGTATACCCACACATCCTTAATTGATGGCCTTTGCAAGAAAGGGTGGACAGAAAGAGCTTTTAGACTGTTTCTTAAGCTTGTTAGAAGTGATAATTACAAGCCAAATGTGCACACTTACACAGCCATGATAAGTGGGTATTGCAAAGAGGAGAAGTTGAATAGAGCTGAAATGTTGTTTGAAAGAATGAGAGAACAGGGGATGGTCCCAAACACAAACACTTATACAACTCTCATTAATGGGCACTCTAAAGGTGGTAATTTCAGTAGGGCCTATGAATTGATGGAGTTAATGTGTTATGAAGGTTTCTTCCCTAATATTTGTACATATAATGCAATTGTTGATGGACTCTGTAAAAAGGGGAGACCAGAAGAGGCTTTCAGACTTCTAAATAAGGGGTTTTATAATGGAATTCGAGCCGACAGTGTGACGTATACAATTCTGATATCCGAGCAGTGTAAGCGAGCCGATATGAATCGAGCTCTGATGTTTCTAAGTAAGATGTTTAAAGTTGGTTTCCAGCCTGATATCCATTTATATACCACTTTGATTGCTGCCTTCTGCAGGCAAAAAACAATGAAAGACAGTGAAAAGTTATTCGAAGAAGTTGTTAGGTTCGGTTTGGTTCCAACAAAAGAAACTTACACATCCATGATATGTGGCTATTGTAGGGAGAGAAAAATTACCTTAGCAGTAAAAATTTTTCAGAAGATGAGTGACCATGGCTGTGCACCAGATAGCATTAGTTATGGAGCTCTAATCAGTGGCCTTTGTAAAGAGTCGAGGTTGGATGAGGCTCGCGGATTATATGATGCCATGATGGACAAAGGACTGTCTCCTTGCGAAGTTACTCGGGTGACGCTGGCTTATGAGTATTGCAAAACAGAAGACTTTGCTTCAGCCATGGTTATCTTGGAACGGCTTGACAAGAAGCTTTGGATACGCACTGTTCATACACTAATACGGAAGCTCTGCAGTGAGAAGAAAGTCGGCATGGCAGCTCTGTTCTTCCATAAGTTACTGGACAAAGATGGCAATGTCAATCGTGTGACTTTGGCTGCATTCATGACTGCTTGTTGTGAAAGCAACAAGTATGCTCTCGTCTCCGACATATCCGAGAGGATTTCAAAAGGTATCGGCTAACCAACCTCTGAAAACAGGAATGATAGATGAATTTGTTGTGTTGAAGAGCTTAAACATGGAGGAAGATAATGGCCAGAAATGGACTTGAATCTCTTGATTACAATTCAGCTGAATTGAAGAGATGTCTTCCAAGATGATAAGGCCTGATCCTGCACTTGTTTAAGCTTTCAGCAGGTACTTCAAGTTTGATTGCATTCTTTTGGCTAAATTACAAAAAAATATCCTGAACTTTGATATTTGTTTAAAAAATACCCCTATTTTTTTTCAAAAATTTCAATACTACCCTTACTTTCATAAACTTAAAAAAAAAATACTCTTTGAACAAGTCTTCGTTAATATTTTGAACGGGAAGTTGACGTAGCAGAATCTGGAACTAAGTAACAATTAATATAGAAATAGGTTCCAGTGCTCTGAGTCTCGAACTTGATTCTCTATTGTTCAGACAAGCTTACACGTTAATTGTCGTCCTAGATTCTCAAGTTTCTATTCAAAATTTTTATGGATATTTGAAGGGGATTTTTGAAACCTCTATACTTTTGAAAAGATGGGGATATTTTTCAAACAAAATATATATATATCTATCTATATATATATATTTTGCAATTTAGCCTATTATTTTCTTCCTATTGTTTTCTAAAGAAGTAAAAAAGAATAGAAATGACAAGAAGAATTCTTTGTTGTTACAGCCACAACATGAACAGTTTTCAGAAGAAAAAAAATGAAGATCTTGAATGAGAAGTACATCCTAAATGGCACATCCTTTGGCCATCTTAAGGATTGGATTGGAAGCTGAAGCCTTTTCCCTGTACATTTTCTGTTTTCCTTTTCCACAATAAGATCTTCACATGTTCAATAAAAATTTAAAATATTATTATATTTTTTTTGAAAAGAAAACATTATTATATTTAAATCATATATTGTTCTCTTCTTTGCATTCAACACTTACCTATATTTAAAAAGTTTTTATTGCATAACTTTCATTTATCATTAAGTGTTGTATATTTAAGAACAAATGAAATAAATGTAAACTTCATTAATTAAGCTTGTGACATTGTGGTATATTTTGTAGCTATAGTAGAATTATTTTTTGTATTTGCTGTAATTTTAAAAGATTACAAATCTAGTTTTTAGTTCTACATTATTATTTTTAGGGAATGTTCTTATTAAATACTATTTTAGTAATATCATTCCGATCACATTTTTTTAGCACAATAAATATTTGATTTCTTATCACAAAGGAGGAGATGAATTATATGTTTTTTACCGTTACATTAGGTTCATGTTGGCTATCATTTCTAACACCTTGAAAATGATAAAATCCCATGAATTAATATTGAATCATAAAATTAAATAAGTGAAGAAATTATCACTAGCCCCTAAAAGGCAACCCAGTTGGCAAGTCCGTGAGTTTAGTATTAAAAACCTTTGATGTCTTTTGGGTCTAGACTTTGAAATACTTTGGATATAAAAAAGCAAAGCTCGACTCCCAGTTAAATGATTAGCAATGGTAAAAATTATGTATCTCTACAACAACAGAAAATTAATTAGCAAAGGTTGTAATTATTTCCTGCTCATTCCAGTTTGAATTTTATTTCAATAAAATAAAAAATTTTCAAATTAAAAATGATTCACTTAAAATTAAAATTATTTATTTGTTTTTTCTGACGACATTATATTGCAAATGAAACGAGAAATTCTAGTGTATAATAATACATAAAAAGGAGTAAATTGATTATTATTATTAATAACTATTTTTTTAAGACAATAAATGTGGAGTATAGATTTAAATCTCCAAAAATAAACCGACATTATTTAAGGCTTTAAGCAACAATAATCATAACTATTAGGATTTGTTCAATTGAGTAAATTCATGATTTTTCGATGACTAGAGCATAACTCAAATTTGTCAAGACATCGTAACTTCCACTACAAGATTAGAGGATGAAATCATCCAACTACATTGCAATATTTTTTAATGATTTTCCGGAAATAAAAAAAAATTGGGAAACCTTTTCAAGAACTTTTTCAAAAGCGACCTTCCATGTTAAAAAAAAAACAAAAAAACAAGG